AGTCCTCTTCACTTTCAGTAAGCGATGTTGTGTCATCTGCATATCACAGGTTGTTAACGAATCTTCCTCCAATCCTGATGCCCTGCTCTTCTTTATAGAGTCCAGCTTCTTGGATTATTTGCTCAGTATACAGATTGAATAGGTATGGTGAAAGGCTATAACTCTGATGCACACCTTTCCTGACTTTAAACCATGCAGTATCCCCTTGTTCTGTTCAAACCACGGCCTCTTGATCCATATACAGGTTCCTCATGAGCACAATTAAGTGTTCTGGAGTTCCCATTCTTGTAATGTTATCCATAATTTGTTATGATCCATACAGTCCAATGCCTTTTCATAGTCAATAAAACAGGTAAACAGCTTTCTGGTAGTCTCTGCTTTCAGCCAGGATCCATCTGACATCAGCAATGATATCCCTCGTTTCATACCCTCTTCTGATCCGGTTTGAATTTCTGGCAGTTCTCTGTCAATGTACTGCTGCGGCTGCTTTGGAATGATCTTCAGCAAAATTTTACTTGTGTGTGATATTGATATTGTTCGATATTTTCTCCATTCAGTTGGATCACCTTTATGGAACAGGCATAAAAATGGATCTCTTCCAATCGGTTGGCCAGGTAGCTGTCTTCCAAATTTCTTGGCATAGACAAGTGAGCACTTTCAGCGCTGCATCCATTTGTTGAAATATCTCAACTGGTATTCCATCAATTCCTGAAGCCTTGTTTTTTGCCAGTGTGTTCAGTGCAGCTTGGACTTCCTCCTTCAGTACCATCGGTTCCTGATCATATGCTACCTCCTGAAATGGATGAACGTCGACCATTTCTTTTTGGTACAGTGACTCTGTGTATTCCTTCCATCTTCTTTTGATGCTTCCTGTGTCATTTGATATTTTCCCCATAAAATCCTTCAATATTGCAGCTTGCAGCTTGAATTTTTTCTCCAGTTCTTTCAGCTTAAGAAATGTTGAGAATGTTCCTTCCTTTTGGTTTTCTACCTCCAGGTCTTCACTTTGTCTTCCTGAGCCACCTTTTGAAATCTTCTGTTTATCTCTTTTACTTCATAATTTCTTCCTTTTGCTTTAGCTACTCTACATTCAAGAGCAAGTTTCAGAGTCTTTTCTGACACAAACTTTGGTCTTTTCTTTCTTTCCTGCCTTTTTAATGATCTCTTACTTTCTTCATGTATGATGTCTTTGATGTGTGGTCTTTGGTCATTAGTGTTCCACGTGTCAAATCTATTCTTGAGATGGTCTCTAAATTCAGGTAGGATATCCTCAAGGTTGTACTTCGACTTTTGTAGACTTGTTCTAATTTTCTTCAGTTTCAACTTGAACTTGCATACAAGCAACTGATGGTCTGTACCACAGTGGCCCCTAGACTTGCTCTGACTGATGATATTGAGCTTTTCCATCGTCTCTTTCCACATATGTAATCCATTTGATTCCTGCCTATTCCATCTGGCAAGGTCCACGTGTATAGTCACTGTTTATGTTGTTAAAGTATTTGCAATGAAGAAGTCATTGGTCTTGCAGACTTCTAGCATAAGATCTCCAGCATTGTTTCTATCACCAAGGCCATATTTTCCAACTACTGATGCCTTCTTCTTTGTTTCCAACTTGCACATTCCAATCACCAGTAATTATCAGTGCATCCTGATTGCATGTTCGATCAATTTCAGACTGCAGAAGTTGGTAAAAATCTTCAAGTTCTTTGACCTTAGTGGTTGGTGCGTAAATTTGTATAACAGTCGTATTAGCTGGTCTTCCTTGTAGGTATACGGACATTATCCTATCACTGACAGCATTGTACTTCAGGATAGATCTTGAAATGTTCTTTTTGACGATAAATGCAATGTCATTCCTCTTCAGGTTGTCATTCCCAGCATAGTAGACCATGTATTTGTCCGATTCAAAATGGCCAATACCAGTCCATTTCAGCTCACTAATGCCTAGGATATCGATATTTATGTATTCCATTTCATTTTTGACAATTTCTAGTTTTCCTAGATTCATACTTTGTACATTCCATGTTCTGATTATTAATGGATGTTTAAGCTGTTTCTTCTCATTTTGAGTCATGCCACATCAGCAAACGAAGGTCCTGAAAGTTTGACTCCATTCACGTCATTGAGGTTGATTCTACTTTGAGGAGACAGCTCTTCCCCAGTCATATTTCAAGCACCTTCCAACCTGAGAGGCTCATCTTCTGTCACTATATCAGACAATGTTCTGCCGCTGTTTTATAAGGTTTTCACTGGTTAATTTTTTCAGAAGTAGACCGCCAGGTCCTTTGTCTTAGTCTGGAAGCTCAGCTGAAACCTGTCTGCCATGGGTGACCCTGCTGGTGTTTGAATACTGGTGGCATAGCTTTCAGCATCACAGTAACACACAAGCCCCCACAGTATGATAAACTGACAGACACATGGTGGAAAGAAATCCCTACTGTTCTATATTTTGAGAGTTGAAACCGCCAGCAAGGTCAGTCAAAAATTGGTCAGAAGCTCTGCTTTACACTGAGTTTTATTTTTGGCAGAAGAGTCTCATGAGTGTCAGCCCCCTAAGGAAGGAAGTGGAAGGTTTCTAAACCTACCAGTCCCTAGGAGGAGGAGGAGCAGGTGCAGGAGGAGCAGGATGAGATAGGATGCTGCTATAGGTTGGTCAAGTGTGAGGGCACTGACTAAGCCATAAGGTTTGAGGCACAGCCACCCCTTTCCTGGAATCCTGCCTCTTGGGAGTTTGTTCTTATGCTTCCACAGGCTGGAAAGCAAAGACCTGTCACTCTAGATTGTCTCCTTTCTTCCCTCTGCACCTTCCCTTGTAGCTGGTAAAGGCAGAGGGCCCAGGCTCTCCTTGCCCTTGGCTGCTGCTCTGCCTGTGAAAGTGAGATGTGGAAGCCATCTCTCTTCTCTCTCTTTCTCTCCCTCCATATGCCTGCTGAGGTACGGTAGGTCTGGGGTCCTCAGAGGCCTGGAATTAGTGTCACCAGACAAAATACAGGATGCTCAGTTAAATTATTGCTTATCTGAAATTAAAATTTAACTGAGTGTCCTATATTTTTATTTGCTAAATCTGGCAACCATACCTGGAACCCAGGTACCAAGATGGCCTCTACCCTGCACCTGTGCTTTCTCCTGTTTGCCAGCATCCTCTGGGTAAGGCTTTCCTCTTTCTGGGTGGGTAAGCTCTGCAGCTCCAGTGTTGGGAAGCTTAGAGTGGAGAAAAGATTAGAGTGGGTCTTGTGGCCTGCTTGGTTTCCAGGCTCCTGTCCACTTCTAGCTGTAGCAAAAGGAATTCTCCACATGGTCTTGCTTAGGTAAATAGAGGTCTGTGTTGGTTATCTTCTGTTGTCTCTCCAGACCCATTTTCTATCCTTCTCCGCTCTGTTCAGTGCCTTGGGAGGCTGATTTATGTGAACTATTAGCAGGAGATGTGAGGGCAAGAAGGATGCGAGGTTGGGTTATGTTTTCCCCTGCTTCTCTCTGCTGGTCACTGTGGATGGCTATGTTCCTCTGCTGACAGCCACAGCTCCTATCAGATGACCCACTCGAGTTCCAAGGGTCTGCTCCCTTCCCTTGCCTCCTCAGGCTTAGGGGCCATAATGACTCCAGCTATCCCTAGTCGGGGGTAATCACTGAATCCTTGTAGATTTCATTAACTAACACTCACACATTTGTATAGTCCTTTATTCAGCTTGCCTCAAATTACCATCTGTTTCTGCCAGGATCCTGACTGCTAGAAGACCTACATGAGAGCTAGTGCTATATCTCAGTGGTAATGTTCATTTTTTTACTCATTTCCTTCTTGTCCTCTATGAATTTATTTCTCTCAAGGGCTTCAAGTGTTGGAGTTAAAGACTGGATTTTGGAATTTCTTGCCCCTCACTCCCCACCCCCTGCCAAGTAATACCATTTCATTTCATCTCATTCCCAATAACCACTCCTGTATCTTGCTTCTGTGACAGTTTTTTGAATATATTTATTTGAAAAAGTAGCCTCTGTTTGGTTGGGTGATAACAATTATACTCATTCATCATAATTCTATCATTTAACTTTCTCATCTTTAAATATTTTCTGTTCTAATTTTAACCTCAAGGATAATTCATTATTTCATTAGGGACTCATCAAGAATCTGTTGCATGCTCTGTACCGTGTTTGACTTGGTGTTTAATAAAGTGAATTATTCCACATGGTTCTTACCCTCCCCACAGAGTTTAGAATGTTATGGGGGAGATGAGACATCTGCCCCAGGAAATCTCAATAGCAATGGCAACACCACAATTGCTGCAATTCATGATTGGGTCTCAGATGGTCAGTGTTAAGAGTTCATAAGAGTAAGAGATCACTGGGGACTGGCATGAAAAAGATAGGGAAAGGGTCTTTTATAAAGCTTTAAAGGAAGACAATTCTGTGTGATTTTCCCCAAGAGTATTTAAATATCTGTTAGAGCAACCAAACTTGTCTGGTGAGCAAGTGGGCTTTGCAGTTGTCAGAGCAACAAAGAACTGGACGGAGCTTCAAGGGCTCACTAGAGGCAGCTCCTTGTCTTTCACTACAGTAGCCAATTATAGTAGCTGTCAGTTATTTTATGGGTTTAGTTAGTTAAAAAAAATTCTATTTCTAAAAAATCAGAGGTTAACTTCATTTAAAAGCATTATGATGTGGGCATGAGAACCTGGATGGAGGGCTGTAATTTGCTGGGTATGTGTTCTGGGGAAGTTGTTATTCCAGGAAACTGTATCTCTGCTTGTCCTCAGGGAGAAAATTGGTCCTCACGGAACCCATTTGTTCCCTCAATTTTAGCATGACTCAAAAACTCAAGTGAGTAGGAGAAAGGATGAGATGTGGTTCAACAAGTAGTCTCTAAAAAAATTATCTTGGCTATTTTGATGAGTGTATGTATTACCAGCTATGAAGGGCTTTCTGGCTCTTGCAAACAATGGTGTGAATCTTACTATGGACAGGAAAAAGAATGGATTCTACTAATGAGTGACTCTAAACTGCCATACCTCAGGAATTGGTTCATTCACATAGACCCATTCTTCGGATCCTGGCTTAGGCAGCGGTGGTACGACCGGAGCAGGTGACACATCTGCAGAGTCAGCAGGTGACTTCTTTACTGGTTGCTTCCCTCCTTGTGTTTTTCCTTTAGGAGAACCTTAAACATGCATATTAAATCATTCCACTATAAGCAGATATACGAGGCCAGATTCTGGTGTACGTATAAATCTATGATTGTCATAGATTCTGGCAACACATTAACTACTTTTTAAGTTCCTCTGGTAGCCTTACCAAATCAAAAATCCAAAACCTCATTCTCCTCAGCCCCCAAATTACCCAATTATATATATATACACATATATATATGATTTTTAAGCAATTCAACTTCTTTCATCTAACTGGCAATGAAAAGTAACTTGATATTTTTTTCATCTCTGTCCTTGCTTTCACAATGAATATGTGACTATTATAAAGTTTAGACCCTAGAGCAAAGTGTATTTCATTTACTTTTAAAAAAAAAAAAAAAAAAGGCAAATGAAACTCTTCACTCTGTTTAAGAAAGAAAAGGGAGTTATAACATGAATGGAGCTCTTGGTATCCCCTGGAGTCCAGGGGAACGGACAGAGAGATAGGAGGTATTGTAAGAGTCAGTCAGAGTAGGTGAGAGAAGTGGGGCAAGAAAAGAATGGGCATTGTAGCTCCAGAATATTCTCACATTTCCTGCCTGAGACACAGAGTGTCTGAGAGAAAAACTATAATTCTTGCTACAGTTGAGGGGTATGGATGGAGGTAGTTGTTGTGGCATAAGCCTTGCTGCATTAAGGCATAAGGAAGAGGAGGAGGAAAGATGGAAAGGAAGGGACCTAATTGTCAATTTGGAATCCAGAAAGGCCATAAACTTCATTTTCCCCAATAACATCAAGAGTAAAATCTACACCAGTCAAGTGGCCCCCTTAATATGGTCTCAAAGACCTTGTACTCTGACCAAAGTACCTTAACTCAGACAGCATCGACATTTCTGAAAGGATCAGGGATATTATAGTTTAGAAATTCACTTACCTTCAGATTAATTATCTAGATTTTAGATGCAGTTTACTGATGTCTGTAAAACTGGGAGCACTTTCTTTCCCCCTAAATGTATTTCTTTAAAGATGATCATTTAATGATAATGCTGTTTAGGAAAGTAAATTTATCTTCCACTTTTATGCTTATTAAAAATACTTGGATTATAAGTAGAGGAGAATTTGTCCATTATGTTCTGTGGGGAGTTTAGGTGACTCCTACCTATACATTTAAAAATAGTATCCATTATCCATAGGTCTTAAGTTGTATCTAACTTTTTGAAAATTTAGAGAAGGTCAAGAAAATATTTGTTCAGGCAGAAACCAAAAATGTCCATAATTTGATCTATTTTTTTCTGTATGATGATTTTTCATCCTTTGACCTGAATCTCTGGTAAAGAAAAAATGATGATCCTATGGTCATGTTAAACCGAATGTTTCTAAGAATTCCTAAGAAGAACTGTCTAATTATAAACATGAGATTGGAATGATTTTCTTTTTCTTCTTTCCTTAAATATAATGATCATTTAGTGAAAAGCAAACAAGCTGGGGAATCATTGTTGGACCATTGTGCTTTGAGTCCATGTAACTTTTATCTAATTTTTTAACCAGAAAAGTGCTGAGGGACAGATTTGAATGAATAAAAATGTGTATAAGTCATAATGAGTGAACAAAATTAGATGTCATTTTTGTACAAAACCTTTATCGACATCCTAAATGTAACAAGGGTCATTCCTTTTAAAATAAAGTCCAACCATATGAAGTCCTCCATTTCTAATATTTGATTTCACTTGTAGAGTTGGATCATTGAGTCCTTAGTGTATCGATTTTATATGGATGAAAGGGATAAAGAGTAATCCGGGTTTAGTGTGTGATAAAGGTAGATTCTAACTTTTTTTTTTTTTTTCAGTTTCAAGAATCTGATGATATACATAAATGAATGGAGCTAGAACAGATGCAAATAAGATAAAATAAGGTGAAGAGAAAAATACAATTTTAGAACATAGATTTAATCTAATCAATGTTATCAGTAATGAAGTTGTCAACCAAAGGTGAAAAGATAAAGCAATAAATTTGAGAAAAGAAAACAACATAGCAGGAGTTTAATAAAGTTCTGAGTAAACGTCAAGAGCTGAAATCAAAATTAAAAGTAAGAAAGGAAATAGTTAATTCTCAGAGTAAACCACATTAATTGAGGAGCAGACACTAAGAAAACTAGAACACTTTTAAATTTAATCGGAACTGCTCAGGAGGGTGAGGGGATTATAGAAAGGAGGAAAAGATAGTCTGAATATGTGGAACATCTGATTTGCTTATTTTTTTAAAGAAAGTCATTATTATTACTTTTCAGCCCAGAAATATTTCCTAATTGTGACCAGACTGAATCAACAGCTTCATATGAAGCAGCCAAAAGATGGGTTAACACTGATCACTTCCTTACTGCCTGAGGGCCAGCCATGTTTGGCAAAAATCAACTTTTTGTTAACAGATAGTGTTGCCTGGGCTGCAGACAGTGGCAACCAAAGTTGAGACTCAGGATGTCTTGAATAAAATGGAAATTTTAGCACGGAAATGGAACAGATTGAAGCAATATGACCAGGAAGGGGAAGCGGCCAGTGTTGGATGAGAAGCCAGAGATGGAACATGCACCAACTTATTCTTTAACCTACTACTGACAAGCTGGAGCCCTGGTGGCACAGTGGTTTAGAGCTCAGCTACTAAGCAAAAGGTTGGCAGTTTGAATCCACCAGCCGCTCCTCGGAAACCCTATGGGGCAGTTCTACTCTGTGCTATAGGGTTGCTATGAGTCGGAATCGACTTGACAGCAATATGTTTGGTTTATTGAAAAGCTATTTTGGAAAAGCTCATGGAGAGAAAGATTTCTTTACTCAGTGTCTCAGAATTCATGTTGTTACTCTGTGTGGATCTGGGAATATGGACTCTGGATGACTGTAAAGTAACGAGACTGGTTATCTAGGATCATTTATGGGATCTAATTTTACTGTAATTATCAGTGATAAGTGATGGAAACTCCTTAGCTCAGTGCAAAAGAGTTTCCTTTCAGCCCACTGTCTTTAGTAATGTCTGAAGGATTACTTGGTCTGGGGCCAATAATAATAGCGAGTATTTATTTAGTGTTTACACTGAGCCAGACCCTGTTCTACTTCTTATATATTTATTACCTTAGTCTTTACAATATCATGTGAGAAGTTACTTTTATTACCCCATTTTACAGATGAGGAAACTGAGGCGTACTAAGGTACAGTAAGTTGCCCGAGGTCACCCATACGGTAAGTGGCCAAGCTAGAATTTCAGCCTAGGCAGGCTGGCTCTAGAGCCTGTGCTTTTGACTGTCATACTTCATTTCTTTTAGTGTTTATTGATGTCATTTGTATTCATAAGTATTCATTAGATTGATATATAGAAATTTAAAAACTTTATCGCAGTTCTTATGATTTACTTGGCTCATAAATTGATTTTAACTATGATTGCTTTCTATTTACATTGCATACCAATTTTCTTTTCCACTTCTGGTAAAAAATAAAAATAAAAAAAATACAGGCAGAGAAATGGATTAAAAACTCATACTTAAAAGCATAAATAGTATTATTCAATTCACTTAATCTACGGTGACAGTACTAAGGCAAACTCCAGGGAAGCTATGAGCAATTTTGTAGATTACATTTGCTAAAGAGAGAATAGGCACTTACTCTCCCTTTTAATAGGTTAAACGTTCCTAACAGAGCACTTCCTTATTTATTTTGACTCGATTTCCTCATCTCTGAAGTGGGAAAACGGTAATTTCTATCTGATAGGTGATTATGAGGACTTAATGAGATTATATATGTAAATTATCTTGTATAGTGCCTGGCACATAATAGGCACTCCATAAAATGTAGTTTGTTTTTATGATTATGAATTGATATTATAAACGGAGATTGTTGTTAAATTTTGCTACTGAACCATTATCATAAATTAATCATCAACTTTCAGATGTGTGGCATCAATCTTCAGATGAAACTGAATGTGTTTTGCAATTGCTATAAAGCCTATGAAGACCTTGTACACCCTAACGGGTACCCGGTGATAAAAATCTATTTTAGAAATTAATCCAGGAAAAGCTTGTTTTTTGTGTTTTTCCCTTGTTGAATTGGTATATCTCCTTCTCTCTGGGAATGTGAATTCACCTTGTTTCCCAGATTGTTCTGAGTTTATTTAATGAGCCATTACAATAAGCATTGTGTCCTTCAGCTAGACATACTAACTCTCTTATTTCAGGGCTTTGGATTTTTATTTCTACTGCAACAGCACTATTATATACACGTTTCTTTATTCTAACCCAACTTAACTATTTTGGGAAAAGTGTATATTATACATAACATATTAGAACTAATTGAATGTTTCTGATGTTTCAATGGCTATAAGAATATGTCTTGCTCAAGCATTAGTATGGATCAGAATCATCTGGAGGGCTTGTTAAAATACAGACTTCTGGGATCCACTCCTGGAGTTTCAGAATCAGTAGGTCTGGGGTGCGGCCCACATATTTGCATTTCTAACAAGTTCCCAAGAGTCCCTGGGTGGTGCAAACAGATAAGGGCTGACTACTAGCCGAAAGATTATTGGTTCAAACCAGGGCTTCAGACTGGTTTGAACCGGCTCAGTCATAGCCAATGAAGCAAAACTGGAACAGACCCAAATTTTTACAATTTGGGTGATCTGGAACGATAACCAGAATGGGAAAAACTACGAGTTGAAGCCCTGGAATGGGAGACTCGGAAGAGGTGCAGTGAGCCCTTTCAGAAGCCTGTTGCACAAGATTGGATTATTGGCAAGACTGTGGAGAGCGACACACATACAAAGCAGCTAATCAGCCACCATCTTTAAGCAGGGCACCAATGTTTTCTACTCTGCTTAAAATCTGACAGGCAAGAGATTTGGTTGCTATGCAACGCATACACTCCCTTGTTTTTTAAGAGGGAATTTGGTTTCAAGCAGGACTTTGAACTGTAATTTTTCCAGTTCCATTTCACTCAAAAATTAAAAATTCAGATCTGTTCTGGTTTCGCTTCCTCGGCCGTGACTGAAATGGGAA